TGTGCAGATTCAATAGGTACATTGCATTATTCAGGTGTTGGAGGACAAATCGATTTTATGCGTGGTGCTGCATTAAGTGAACAAGGAAAACCAATTCTTGTTTTACCATCACAAACATCAAAAGGAATTTCACGTATTGTTAATACAGTAAGTTTCAATGTTGATTCTTAGTTTTTTGTTTTTTTTTTATATTTAGTTAAAAGAAGGTGCGGGTGTGACGACAACTCGAGCCCATATTCATTATGTAGTAACTGAATATGGTGTAGCAAATTTATTTGGTAAAAATTATCAACAACGAGCCAAAGCATTGATTGGTATAGCTCATCCTGATCATCGTGAAGCATTAGAACGTGCTGCTTATAAACGTTTTAAAACTCTTTATTAAGTTTTGAAAAAAAAAAAAAGTGAAAGAACTAATTTAATAGAATAGAATTTTCTTCGATACGAATTTTTTATGGAATTAAATATAAAACTTGAAAAATTCGCTTTGATCATAATTGTCAAGATTTTAGTCATGGCATCAATTCAAGTCATTAAGATCACTAAAGGTTAATGTAACTTTTGAAAAGAATCAAACAAAGAAAGCAATCAATAGTGTTTAATGTATCGATAAACAATGTACTTATATGAGCCGTTTCAGATAAAATATAACATATCTACGTTTCATTTGATTTCAATTCTTTAAAAAGGTTATTTTTCTTAAAAAGTTCTTTTAGCGTCGGCAAACAGAAAATAACCCCAAACCAAATGTTCTTATAAAAACCTTGAGTATTCGTATCAACCTTTCAAGTAGCATATTATTGGACAATATTTTCTCTTGTAATCATAAAAATGTAAACATGAAGATAAATTTTTCGCAATCTATCAACGTGATTTTCTTAATAAAGTTCTCAATATAATTCTAAATAACAAAACAGCATAGTAAAAACCAATAATTATTTATCTTATTTTTTTTTTTTATTTGGCGCTCATCATAAGTCACCCATTGGTAACATGCTTAGTAAAGCTATGGACTCCATAATCGAATTGAAATGGATAAAAAAAAAAGATTTTGAGATTTTTATATGGTTCCATAGTTCTTATTGTCTACTTTTGAAATCAGTATTATTAATCTGAATTTTGATGGTTTTACACAAGATTTACTGATGATGTTAGAATCAGAAAAAAATGAATTTTTTGAAAATGTTAGTTATTATAACCTTTTACACATCTTCTAAGATTTCCCATAGTGAAGAATCTAGTAAAACTATATGAAGTAACACAAGTACTGCAAGTCTTTGAACAAGTGAACTCATATCCTGCATTTCTTTTCCCATCATTATTCATTTAATTATGTTATTATTTTGGCAATGTTATGTCAGAAGAGATGCTGTCTGACATAAGTATATGTTCTCTTCTCTTTCTTCAATTTCACTCTTTCACATATATAATCATTCCTTTCTTCTTCTCATCTTTTGTCTATTTAAGCAGCTGTCATTATTGATATAGGTGTGTATATGCCTGAACCAAATGAGTACTCACATCTCATATGTTTTTTCTCTTCTAGTTTCAAATTTTAAGATGCTGTACAAGTACGCGCAAGTCTTCATTTGATCTACCATAGTCAATGAAACATGGTAGACTACGATCGATGTGTTTCTTCCAGTATTTTACTTAACAGAAATATTGATTTTTAATTGTCATATTTAGTTTGGCATTTATTTATTCTGTTTTGCATGCTAGAATGATAAATAAAGTTTCAAACTAAAGAGAAAATTGTACTTCACAACTTAACAAAGTCAAGTTTTAATCCGAGATCTGTATCGTTAAATTTAGAGGAGATATCTAAAACATGCATAGATCTACTTTTTGACTCATATTATAGAGATAATTCTTGAAGTGTCAAAAAGGTGAAGCTAATTTTGCTGATGTTTGACCCACTGAAAGTATATCGAGAATATTGACGGAAAAACTACATAGAGAACAATTAATCAAACTTTAAAAAACAGATTAAACAAAAAATAAAAATAACTTTTAATGATTGATAAAATTTCTAACAAACTTAATGAAATAATTTTAAAAAAAATGTAAGGATTAAATGAGTTTTCTGTGTCAACAGATTAATATAAGAATCTTTTTCTTCTTGTTTTAATAAAATATCATGTTGATCATTCAAAACACTTTGTTCTTAAAAACCAGTTGGCTAAAAATCTTATTAAGTCTTGAAAAAAGAAATTTTTTTTTGAAAATGTTATTGTGATTCAATTGTTGCATACAAATAACAAATCGATATGTATCAATGGTTGTCTGTCTCTATAATAAAAATGATGTATCGTTTATAGATTTATCTAACAAAAGTAATTTTAAATAAAATTCAATACATCATAAAATAATGAATTCAATTTCTGCATAAAATCATATTCAATAGATATTTTTTCAACTAATTTCACTATGTGAAAATTTAATACGATTCGAAAACTAAATTGATCAATATTCCCATTATTTATATCTCATTTAAATAAATAGATACCATTTTATCACCCACAGTGAGCAATTGACTTTGTTCATTCAATATCGAACGATATAATACATTACTCTAACATGACCTTATTATCATTTTTTATTCGTCCACACATGTTTAATATATATTTCTTCTAACGATGAACAAATATTTTGTCTAATAGATACTTAACTATACATACTGTTATTAGCCGATCAATAATATAAACCATTGACTATGAACTTATTCGATGATTATTGTATTGAAGATCATACTAAGGATTAATATTTTCTTTCTCATGTAATTTTTTACGAGTTAAATACATGCTTTTCTTGAAACAATGATATTCACTTTCTCGAACAAAAAATTTTCTCTTTCTAATGTTATCAAACTTATTTAACATGATGAAATCAAAAACATATTGAGATTATTTTAAAATATCAACACTGAGATATGTATTGCATAATTTTCACATACCAAAAGAAAATTGTATATATACGCTAACATATGCTGTTCTATTTGTCAAAACTTCATTAATAATACCCGAGGCGATAAAGAAAGGATTTAAGATATCTCTTACAAAATCTACTATAAAAGAAAAAGAAAAAGAAAAAACTTCAACATTCATTCCTAGCTATGTTCAAC